CAACAGATGTTGGCGGGGATGTGGAGAAAGGGGAACCCTCCTACACTGTTGGTGGGAATGCAAGCTGGTGTAGCCACTCTGGAAAACAGTATGGAAATTCCTCAGGAAGTTATAAATAGAGCTACCCTACAACCCAGCAATTGCATCACTTGGTATTTACCCCAAAGATACAGATGTAGTGAAAAGATGGGGCATGTGCACCCCAATGTTCATAGCAGCAATGTCCAGAATAGCCAAACTGTGGAAAGAGCCAAGATGTCCATCGACAGATGAATGGATAAAGAAGATGTAGAATATATATACAATGGAATATTATGCAGCCATCAAAAGGAATGAAATCTTGCCATTTGCAACGATGTGGATGGAACTGGAGGGTGTTATGCTGAGCGAAATAAGTCAATCAGAGAAAGACATGTATCATATGACCTCACTGATATGAGGAATTCTTAATCTCAGGAAACAAACTGAGGGTTGCTGGAGTGGTGGGGGGTGGGAGGGATGGGGTGGCTGGATGAAAGACATTGGGGAGGGTATGTGCTATGATGAGCGCTCTGAATTGTGCAAGACTGTTGAATCACAGATCTGCACCTCTGAAACAAATAATACAATATATATTAAAAAAAAAGAAGAAGAAAAAGAAGAAGATAGCAGGAGGGGAAGAATGAAGGGGGGGAAATTGGAGGGGGAGACGAACCATGAGAGACGATGAACTCTGAAAAACAAACTGAGGGTTCTAGAGGGGAGGGGGTGGGGGGATGGGTTAGCCTGGTGATGAGTATTAAAGAGGGCATGTTCTTCATGGAGCACTGGGTGTTAAACGCAAACAATGAATCATGGAACACTACATCAAAAACTAATGATGTATGGTGATTAACATAAGATAATAATAAAAAAATAATAAAGTATAAACAAAACTGCTAAATGCATCACACGGCATAGAGTATATATTCTGTAAGTGCTACTTACCACTCTCTTCACAATGATGAATGTCTTCATGGAAATAGTTATCCAAAGTCGCAGCCCATTTGGTTTTCAGCAAATAGTACATACTTAAATCCATAGGTGAAAATACTAAATCAACCACAGCTTATATTTCTCTATTAAAGTACAAAAATGTTTAATGTGTTGTCAATTTGGATATTCCCATTTAAAAACAAATAAATATGAATGTAAGCATCACTGAATTTTAGACAATGGAAATTAAAATTATATACTGAGAAAAATAATAATTGTTGGGAAAAAAAAAGAAATTTGAAGGTAAGTTCCATTGTGTTCTAGCCAACAGTTACTACCAATGAAGAATCTATTACCAATGTTTTTGGGAGAAGGTCCATGATGTGTGTATGTGTGTGTGTGTATAATTTTTTAAATCTCACAAACAGTAAAATCTTTTTTTTTTAAAGATTTTATTGAGAGAGAGAGCGCACAAGCAGGGGGGAGGGGCAGAGGGAGAGGGAGAAGCAGGCTCCCCACTGAGCAGAGCCCAATATGGGGCTTGATCCCAGGACCCTGGGACCAGGACCTGAGCCGAAGGCAGTTGCTTAACTGACTGAGCCACCCAGGTGCCTGTAAATTCTGTTTCTTGATGTAGTATTCTAAGAGTTCTTAAGCATGAAATCTAAAGCCCTGTCCATAAAATAAAAAATAAATTGGATTTTATTAAAATTGAAGGCTTTTGCTCTGCACAAGACACTTAAGACCATGCAGCTGGTTTCAGGTGGTTTTAAATAGAGGTGTGGGAGAGCAGTGGTAAAAGGAGATGGGCTTGTGTTGGAAGAGAGGATTGATTTTGGTCTTGAAAGAACCATTCTGCCTAATATTTATCATGTGGTAGAAGCAACTCAAATTGAAATCATGCAGATTTGGTTTTGAAATCCAGCCCTGGCTCAATGTTAACTCTGTAACCATGGCCAGTTTGGAACAACATGGTGTATTAATAAATAAATTCTATGTATTTTTAAACTAAGGATGATTCTGTCTTTCTTGTCTGCCTTACTGGGCTCTTTTCTGAGAATCAGATGAGACCATGTATGTACAAATACGTTAAAGAATTAACACTAATACAAGGTGAGAGAGGGACTATTACAGTATTTCCACCTGCTCTTCTATACTGAGATGATCTGGTAACATTGTGTGAGAAAAAGATTTAAGCAATTATCACCTACTACATATTTATATAGCAAATAAAAAAGAGCCATTTTATTGTTATAATTTTGTTAAGAGCAGACTCTTGAAGACTGAAAACTCAAGAGCCAAAGAAGGGGTGAGTTTTGGACACCATCATGGGTGGTAGAAGGGGGTAAGGTTTCTATTGGGATGGAAATGGGGGCGTCAGAGAAGGTCCCACAGTATTGTTTAAGCTACCCTGCATTCCTTTTTGTGATCTCTGCCCTGGGGGGGCCCCTCCATTTTGACGAATGTGGAGTGATTTAAAACACATCCACTTTAGTATGTGGAGGAAGCAGGCTCAGGCTGATCCTGCAACTGGCTGATAGGGAAAAGAAGTCCATCTCCAGTCTGTATTCTTGACCATGCAGGATTTATTGAGAAAGCAAAGAATGTTGAGAGATGGGGTAAGGGAAGACAGAAGACAGAGAAGAATGGGTCACGGGTCATGGATAGGAGAGGAAGGGTGAGGTATTTGAACATCCTGTCTGACACTCAGGCAGAGACAGACGTGATTACTTATTGACTGGGGAAGAAACAAAATATAAATTAAGCCCTTTAGGGTGATGGAGAATTTTTACTGCCTGAGTCAGGGCAGGAAGCAAAGGCACAGGCTTCTAGATCTTGTTGCAAAAAGATTGGTTCCGACAGCATATAATTTGCATCCTCGTTCCATGGGAGAATAGGTTCATAGATGGGCACATGTTCTCACACCCCTGAACCATGAATTGGAGTTTTCCACCTGAAAGAAGAAGAGACAGACTGTAGTGAACAGAAGGCTTCCTCCTCCGACCTTCACCTTCATCCATGGTCCCCAGTGTCCCCATGCAGGCATGACCAAGACCTCCAGTTTTTGGATTCTTCCTCCCCCTCTCCTTCCATCTGTCTTTTCTGGGCCCTTCCCCACATCTGTTGCCCACTGCCTCTATTGAGGGACTAGACAAACCACAAGGGAAGTCAGGCAGTGTGGTTCACGGGATGGCAGTAACCAAGATCCTTTATTTTGGGGATGAGGAGTGAGTATAAGGGTAGAAAGTATGGGAATATAGCAAGACACGTCTGGCAACCTGTGAACACTGACTGATAGACAATTGTTTATTCATTTATTCAGTATTTACTAAATTCCTACCATGTACTAAACATTGTACTAAGTGCTAGGAATATATAACCATGAACAAGACAGATACAGTCTTGAGCTTATGGTTAATGTCTCAACATCTCAAGGTGCAACTCATATATTTCTTTTGTAGGAAGAGAGCCAGTCTCCCTGTCTCCTTTTAAGACATCATAGGCCTGCTGGGAAGGACCTCTACCTCCCCATCAGTAAGCTAGAATTCTGCTCTTAATTTAGGATAAGTTTCTCCTGAATCTCCAAGTTTCTAGGGAATCACAGCTTGACCCCTCCTCAGGCTCCCACCACCTCAGCTGCTCCCAAGAGTACTCAAGTTAATTGATGTGTTTCCCTGGCAAAGACTGTATTATGAAGTCCCCACATACCTTCAAAGATCTTCTTTAACATGCACTGCTGGGAATTCTGAGTGGAGCAGACTCCCTCTCCACGAAGACATTTTCCATGATCATTCATATATGAGCATGTGTGGCAATTTAATATTGGGCCTGCAAATTTAAGACAAGCCTGATTAAAGTTCCTGATGGACCAGGCAGGGAGCCACAAATCACAAGGAGAGGAATGATGGGCAGTAAGTAGCCTGGATACAACACATTTCATTGTTTGGTTCTTGTTGGGCATTTGAGGGCCCTGCATCTGATAGAGCATAGTCTCTCTTCTAGGCCAGAGGAAATTCTTTCATTCTTACTGCTTCATCTATAATTTTCATTGCTGAAGAATCCCAAATTTCTCTCTATAATACTGATGTTTACTCCAATTCATATCCCCACTGGCTTCTGCCATGTCTAACTCCGTAGGAGCAAAGTAGAGCTTTAATCACATGACTGGCTCCCCTTTTTACTCCCCCATCATACTCTCACCCACAAGGCACACTTAGAGTAAGAACTGGCTGATTAGTAAGCTATGTTAGAATGCTCTAATGTTGCAAACTCTGTAAAGAGTGATCGTTCTCCATTTTCAAGTTGACCTTCAACAATATCAATTTGTCACAAAGGGCATTCTTTGTGAAATGCTTCTATTTTGCCTCTTTTACTATCTCCATTGCCAATTCCCTAATTAAGGAAGCATAAAGAAATAGGAAGGATGTGGGCTTTGGAGTCAGACCAACTTAAGTTTGAATCCAAGGATTGCTACTTTCTAGCTATGTGATATTAGCCCCACTTCTCTCATCTGAAGATTTGGAATACTACTACTTAGGCAATGGGAGGAAATATGAAGTGTTTATGTCTGGTAATATCTTGAGTGGTCGTCAAACTCTGGATCTTGTTGTCCTTCCTTGAACAACACCTTTTTAGTAAGAGCCAAAGAATTGCAGTTGTGCTGGGAAGTTCTTTATGAATCTAACAGACAAAAGTATGTTCATGCTTTATTCTCCATGTTCAAACAAACAAAACAGAGCCACCAGCTCGAGGGCTAGTCATCTCCTTACAAATTTTGCGAGGCATTCTAACATAGTTTGTTGAGGCAGATTTAGCATGAAGCTCATGAAGGTTAGTGTCCCATGAGCCCCTTCCAAGGGAGCAGTGGGCATTTGTATTTATAATTTCTTACATAGAGTGAAGTTGGAGGCACTGCTGGCATTTTGTATTTGTCATTTTTTTAAAGCACCCTCAAAATTGTTTAGCCTTCAGGGCTACACAAAACCTATATCCTGCCTCCTGGTATTACTGTAAAGAGATGTAGAGTGTCTTTGAGAGAGCTGTGAAGTGTTTGTGAACTAATCTTTCTTCTATACGCTCTCCTTAAAAGTTGGGTTTCTTGATGTGTTGCCTATTTTTCCCCTGAAGTCAAGGACTAGCACCCATCCAGATGCAATTCCCCTGAAAATGTGCCTCACCTGAAAATGTGCTTGATGGTGGAATGCCTGAAGATTGTTCACCCAGTGGCTTTTCACCTGAAGCCTGTTCACTTGAAGCCTGTTCACCTGAAGCTTGTTCACCTGAACCCTGTTCACCGGAAGCCTTCTCACCGGAAGCTTGTTCACCTGAAGGCTTTTCAGCTGAAACCTGTTCACCTGAAGGTTTTTCACTGGAAGACTGTTCACCAGAAATATTTTCACCAGAAGCCTGTTCGCCGGAAAGCTGTTCACCTGAAGGCTTTTCATCAGAAGGCTGTTCACCTGAAGGTTGTTCACCAGAAGCGTGCTCACTGGCAATATGTTCACCTGAAGTATGTTCACCCGTAGCATGCTCACCTGAAGCACGTTCACCTGAAGCGTGTTCACCTGAAATGTGTTCACTTGAACCATGTTCAGCTGAAGTGTGCTCACCTGAAGTATGCTCACTTAAAGTGCTCTCGCCTGCAGAAGTCTCATATAAAGTCTCACCATCTGAAGGGTTTCCAAGTGAAAAGTACTCACCTGAAAATTGCTGAACTGAAGCTTGATGACCCATAGAGCCAGGAGGCTCATCAGGCTGACCTGATGCTCCTGGGATGGAGAGGAACAGAAGAGAGATAGGAAGGTGAGAGAAAGAATGTCTGGGATAAAGACTGCTTTTCTTATGCAATAAGGCTAACGTGGGATTCCTGGGTTTCCTGTGGCCCTGGTCAGGCATCTGAAGATATTGCAGATGTTGGAGGAAGTCAGCTAATTACCCAAGAGACCATGAAGGACAGAGGTGTTAATGAAATACACAGAGACTGCCTCTGGCATTTAAAGGAAGAATTTTAAGATCCACATTATTAAGAAATGTACAGGGGGGCCCACTAGCCCATGTACCAAAAGCACTCGAAGGGAAAATGGTGTGCCTCCCTGACAAAGCCAGCATCAGGAAATCAATATGCCATCAATCACAAGATCAGAAGTCTACCACAAGCCCTCCCTCCAGTTCCTCTCTGGGTGAAAGGCAGGAAGGATGAAAATACAAAAGGGAAAGAGAAAACAACTCAGTTCAATAGCTAAGTAATTCTTGCTGAAATTGAAGGTAGATTTTACCCTTTGGACAGAATAATTTTTAAACCAGAGATGACAAAATATCTAATGAACCCACAAAACTGATCAGACGGGATTTAAGACATTTTTATTTGGCAAATTCAAGTTCTTTCTTACACTCAGTCCCCAATCCATGTGGGTTGGAGACTCAAAGTTGGGATCACTTATTAAGATGAAAACATTCTTTGCTTATTTATTTCTGAATTGAGATTCCTTGTGATGTACCATTATACCTACTTCAGGTAGTTGCATGAGGTTTCAGTAAGATAAACTGTGACGTGCCTAGTTTATTGCCTCAGTGTTCAATTAATTTTATTTTTCTCTCCTCCCCACTTTACACTGGGACTTAAAAAATCTCTTAGCTGGTCATTCTCTTCTGGCCAGTCCCTTCTACCTTTAATCCATCTCACCAATGACTACTAGACAAATATTCTTTAGGTAGTACTTTTCCTTTTATTGAAGTAGCACCAAAAATTTTGATTATTACTCTGTGATTAGACTGAGTAACCCAGAGGAGGGTGGGTAGACTACAAACATGAGTTATTAATCCTAGCCAAAAGCTGAGAGGAATGACAAGATCTGTTGAGGACAAGGTAGCCTAGGGCTCCAAATTACCCTTATCTCTGTAAGAGTCTTGCAATAGATACGCATATTCTGGGTGATTTGCCATCCTTATAATCAATGACTTTCTGAAAGACTATGCTTAGAATATGTTGGTAAAGGAAAGGTAAGGTTTGGAAAGGCTATGGGGAGGTTTTTATTTTTAAAAGTTGTTACTGAATATTATTTGCTTGATTGATTCTTTAATAGTTAACAGAAGTTATAATAAAGAGATTTCTGATGTAGAAAGGAGGTTTGAAAAAGCACACTCATTTCTTAGTCATTCTTAGAGTTGACAACTCACTGCTTCGCCATGTGGCTGGCATATACTACTATTTGGTAGCTATGTATCTAAATTTCTGAGTCAACTTTTGAAAGTCTAAGAAAGCAAAAAATAAAATCTCGGACAACCAACATTATGGAAAATACTTTGTCATTTAACCGACAGTTCAGAGCTCATGGCTTCTCTCTTCTCCTCTAGGAGGAATGAGGGAACACAGCCCACCATGAATGAGGACCCTGAAAGAAGAAATACAGAAAACTGGATGGGTAGAATCTGGCCATGAAGGCGAGGCTCATAAGGTCTCTTGCCCATAGCCCTGCTGTGTTCTGAGATGGCTTTCTGGGTACATCACATTCCTATCTCCTTCTATCTTTCCTTGCTACATTAACTACATAAGGATCCCTAGCACTCAGTTCATTGGGACAAACCTTCATTGGACTTCCACAGAACCCTTAGACTTGTTTTCTCATCTCACAGAGCATCAGGTACAAATGGTGAGTGGCTGAAAAAGTAGTAGGAATGAGACAGTGCCAAGCCAGCAGGCTTCTCTGATGGTAAAGCCATTACAAGGAGAAATCAACTGGCTCAGGAGTTCTCAGAGTTGAACTGGTTTAGCTATTCCTGATTCTGAGTTAGATTGGTTTGGGTAACTAATATTCTGGTCCTCCTTCTTCAAGGGCTAAAAGACCTGAAAGAAGTCTCCCAGAGCTAAGATAGGGGACTCACCTCTGGCACATCCAATCAGATAAAGACTCATTAGTAAGGAAAACTTCTTCATTTGGATTTTGGGAAAGAGGAGTCTCTGGTGTAGGACACCCAAGAGCTGTGAAGGAAAACTGTGAGCAGAAGCTCCCAATGCTAAGCTACAGCTCCTGGGAATTCTAGAACCTCAGAGACCACCCATGTGCCTCACAATGGGTTGAGCTCTGAGATTCTCATACAGGCTGTTTCGGCAGGATGGCTCTCTAACAACTCAGGGCAAATGGTGCAGGTGAAGGCTAAATTTGCCATGTATAACATGGTGTATTGAGGCTCTTTGCCCTATCTATAAAAAAAAAAATCCTATGACCAAAATAACATTTTTTCTTTGTAATAAATTTTAAAAGCTATTTATTCTCTTTTTGAAATGTTCTTGACAATGAGGTATGATTGGCTGATTGTGTTTGGCTCTTTGGTTTTTTGTTTTTGTTTTTTGGTTTTTTTTGGCCCTGTAGGCTAATCTCTATTGACTTGATCACCTGAATGCTGGTTGTGTTTGGCTTCAGACTGGATTTAGCCAGTGGAAGACTAGAGGGGGACACACACACACACAGATTGAGATCGAAATATTTATTCTCTATTTATTCTACTTCCTTTCCTGCCATGGTTTTAACACTGGTTGGGTCTTGACATGACAAAGCTTCTGTTGGGTGTCCTATCTTCTATGGCTCCTGTTCTCAACCAGGCTATGCTAACATGTTGGTTTTGGCAAGAAACAAATGACAAATGCATGATATGGGCCCAAAAAGGGATCAACAAGGGGTTGTTGAAAGCTGTGCCTTGAGCTGTAATTTCTCTCAAGGGGTAGAATATGGATGCAGTGAGGCATCCACCTGGTAGAAAGCTAGAACTCCTGGGGGTTGCGTGGCAGAGATACTCTGGCCCTTACCTCCTACTTCTTCCCTGCCCACCTCCCTTGGACCACTTTGTTTCATGTAATACTGAAAGCTGGATCCAGAATAGATGTATTTATCACTCTTTTAATTATTTGTTTAATATTTACCTCCTCCATTAGACTCTAAGCTCCTTGAAAGCAGGATCCCTGTCTGTCTTGATCACTGTAGTATTCTCCACTACCTAGTGGCAGTTTTGCTTTGCCACATAATACATACTTAATAAATGCTTTCTGAATGAAGAAATGGATGAATTGCCTTTTCTGGGCCTCTCTCTGCCTCACAGAGGAAAATTTATAGAGAGCTCTTAGAGTGGGCTGGCTTTATAAAGATTGTGGGTCAGCTGGAAAAAGCAGGATCTCCAGGGGTCAAAAAAAAGTTGCAGAGGGAGGCCTACCCTACTTGGCATGTGTTGAAGGACAAAACTAGGATTTGTGGGTCTGAGGCTGAGCTTCTGTGGAGTGAATAAATGCATGAAGGAGCATGTTGTTGATCATTTTTTCTCCATGTGGAGAGAGTCCGGAGAAACAGCTGGAGGATCATACTGAGTTAGACTTTTGTTGATGGAAGCAGTGGAAATTCATGGAAAGGGAGAGGCACTATGTATACCACCCACCAGTTGTTTAAGTTTGGTGGCACCCTTTTTTTGCAACTTTCTGGAATATCGCAGCCTCACCCCTCCCTAGGAGTCACAGTATTGAAAGGCAGGACCTAAAGCCTGAATGATCACTCCTTAAACCTTAGCCTCCAGCTTTTCCTCCCTCTTTTCCTTAAGGTTGGTCTTATGGGACTGTATCCCAATCCCACCCAGCCTGGCTTTCCTTAGGCTCTACTTTGGAAATTTTCTCCCTGTTTCCAGTGGTCTGGCACTTCGGAGTCAAACCTGCACTGAGTATCTGAGCACACTGTATAAAAAGACATGGAGTGATGGAGAATTTGCCGTGGGACCAGAAGTGTTCTGGAGCTAAGATGTCCAGAGGTGCTCCAGTCCCTGTGTCCTTCTTCTGCCCATCTCTGCTATCCTAGATGAGGGGAAGCTCCAGTTTCTAACAGCCCAAAGCGAAGCAAAGACCCTGCTAGGTCAGCCCTGGTAATGTTTGCAGCCTGGTTTAAAAAGATGAGCTGAGCCAAACAGCCTCTCCCAAGGGCTTGTAGAGGGAACACAGAAAGAGAGAGGCAGCTAGGCTCCCTAGGAATAGTCATATGTATGCAGAGCTGAGAACCTTTCACTGGACCAGCTTCTTTGCTTAATCCATGATGTACTGGGAACTCACTTGAACTGGCTGAAGACAGCTGATTGGTAAAGTTTCAGGAATTCCACAATCTGGTTGTTGAACACAGATATCATTAAAATTAACATAATTAACATAATATAAACTGACAGATTATATTAAAAACAAAGGTAAGAAATACTCAAAACCTCATCACTTCTAAATAATTTTATGACATTTTACTATTTACTATCTGTGCTCATAAAGTTATTTAGTACTGCTGTATCTGTGTGCAAGAAATACTCTATAATGGTGGGCACATCTCTTCAACTCCCTATTCAGTGATGTCAGGATGGTAGCTGCAAATTGCCATTTGCACCTTGGAAGTCTGCAAATCCTACAAATCAGGACTCTTCCCATCCAGCCTCGCCCCACAAGCCAGTTGTTAAACGTTTATCAGCACACCAGGGGGCTAAACCCATGTACTTGTAACCTGGCGAAGATGGCCAGCTTGTCAGGACACTGAGACCTTGCACGCTTCTTCAGCATAGGAACTCCTATCTGACCAGACAACTGATCAAACTAGCAGCCAGGAATTCTGCTGGGGTTGAACCCAGATAAAGAATGATAGTTTGCACTAATGGTTGTATCCAATCTCTGCACTCTTTTGTCCCCAAAGGTTTCTTTCTTTCTTTCTTTCTTTCTTTCTTTCTTTCTTTCTTTCTTTCTTTCTTTCTTTCTTTCTTTCTTTCTTTCTTTCAAGATTTTTCTCCTTTTTTGAGAGAGAGAGCGAGAGAGCACAAGTGGTGGGGAGGGGGAGAGGGGGAGAGGGAAAGGGAGAAGCAGACTCGGGGAGCCCGACATGGGGCTCCATCCCAGGACCCTGAGATCATGACCTGAGCCAAAGTCAGATGCCCAACTGACGGAGCCACCCAGGTGCCCCCCCCACCCCCACTGGTTATTGATAAAGGTTATTAGTAACCTTTATACAAGGGCCTGTTCTCTCCTGAAGCCTGGGAGTTCTGCCACTTTTGTGCCAAGTGTAGTGTCTTGCTCTGGAATGTTTCCAGAGGTTGGAACTCCGATGCCCAAGGCTCTGCCTTCACCGTATGCACCCACAGCCATTCCTCCTCTCACTCCTTGGGACTCTGCCAGGGAACCAGACTACCTTCTTATAATTGAGGGCAGGGAGGGATATCAGCCAATGGCATACAGACTAAATATCTCCTTAGGTTACCACAGTGTGTACCCATTCTTATATTTATGTCACAGAACAGGGAAGAGCATCGCAGAGTCATTTTATGGGCAACACCGGGCTGGCTGGGAGGATCCCAAGTTACTTTGTTCCCTGCATTCAGGAAAGAGGGAAGACATAAAGTGAGATTTCAGAGGCATCGGGTGGGGGGGCGGGTCACATGGGTTTATGGGGGTCAGGATCTGGGGGACACTGTCTACTGAGACCAGTGCTGAATGACAAGCTCATTTCTGCCTCTACCCCTTCATCCTTAACCACTCATTGAAAGCCAGGATCTCCAGGGGTCAAAAAAAAGTTGCAGAGTTTGATGTAGTGTTCCATGATTGTTTGCGTATAACACCCAGTGCTCCATTCAATATGTGCCCTCCTTAATACCCATCGCCAGGCTCACCCATCCCCCCACCCCCCTCCCCTCTAGAACCCTCAGTTTTTTTCTGAGTCCATAGTCTCTCATGGTTCATCTCCCCCTCCAATTCCCCCCCTTCATTTTTCCCTTCCTACTATCTTCTTCTTCTTCTTCTTTTTTTTTTTTAACATATAATGTGTTATTTGTTTCAGAGGTACAGGTCTGTGATTCATCAGTCTTACACAATTTGAGCAAGGTTTCTTAATCTTTAAAAAAACAAAAGCACATCATTTTTGGATAAACATCTAAATTCTTACTTCACCCTAAGGAGGCCTCCTTTAAAATTCCTTGATAATGATGGAAAGGGGGTTAACTGCTTTTTGATCCCTCCATGTGCTGTGATGATTTTATCAAGCTTTATGTAATTTGTACCAAGAAAGCAATTAAGTTTTTTCCCATCCCCCCACCCCCCCTCCCCTCCAGAACCCTCAGTTTGTTTCTGAGTCCATAGTCTCTCATGGTTCGTCTCCCCCTCCGATTTCCACCCCCTTCATTTTTCCCTTCCTACTATCTCTGTATCATCAAGACAGTGTGGTACTGGCACAAAAACAGACACATAGATCAATGGAACAGAACAGAGAGCCCAGAAATGGACCCTCAACTCTACGGTCACCTAATCTTTGACAAAGCAGGAAAGAATGTCCAATGGAAAAAAGACAGTCTCTTCAACAAATGGTGTTGGGAAAATTGGACAGCCACATGCAGAAGATGAAAGCAATTAAGTTTTACTCACTTTTTTTCAAGTGTATTATGTTAACTATATTAATATATTTGTGAAAATGATGCATGGTCTCCCATCCTAAGTTTCTGTTATTATCTGTCCCCCCCCCAGTTCAGGCACAATGCACAATGTTGAGTCCCTGAGCACCCACAGGCTGACTGGAGACTCATCCATTTTTTCCACTACAGGAAGGACTGGGGAAGGGTAGCCAGGGGCACTCCCTGGCCTTAGGGATCTTGGAAAACTGGAAAAAGGGTCAGGGATTAGCTTCAAGGAGTAGAAAGGAAAGAATCCCCTGGGGCTGGCCTAAACAGCAGGGCCCCCATCCTGCTCCAGAGCATTCTAGGATTAAGACTAAATGGGAGTCCCAGAAGAACCATTTAGTAAAAACCTTATGAGTAGATTACAGAAAATTATTTTTGCTGAGACATGTCCATTTTTGTGCATGATGTGGAACGGGCTGGGGGCCTTCTACGTCTGAAGGAGCCATCTCTGGCAGTAGGAATCCTGTCTTAGGGTCCTCGGATATTAAT